TACTAAAGTTTAGGATTTGAGGCCAATAGTCAATCCATCATTGCTATGCAGTCATAATCTATCACAGGACATACAACCACACACATACACGTAAGGACAATTATGTATTATTAGATCACATGTGCAAATATAATCTACACAAATGATTAATCCAGAAGCAACAGTGTTGCAGGAGGTAGAGTGCACAACCTCTGGCACACATCTTTCTCTTCATCCTCGCTTTTGCCCAACAGCCACAGTGTCCCCGCTCTGCTGATATTTTAGGTTTGACTCAAAAGCACCACACAATACATATTGTTTTTGTTATGGCTGCTGAATGCAAAAAATGTACAGATAGATATGCGGAACATATCTATCTGCTAAAATTTCCACTGAATAAAGAGAGTCTGGGCCTTGGTTTAATTAAACCGGACCAGGCTTTATGCACCCAACCATGTTGGGTGTTGCTTCTGGTCGTTTCAAATCATATTACATTTTGGCTGTACTCAGTAGTTCAATATTAACATTTAAAAGAGACAATGCATTAATAATGCATACAATATATACAACTAATATATTTCATAGAAATTAGTCTCTAGTGCTACAAATTAAACATTTAATAGATTATTTTTCCTATTGCGCTGCACTCGAATGAAATTAGCTTTAATATTGTTAATTCCACTTCAGTGTATTAGACAGTCACAATATACCGCCAATATATTATTATTGCAATATCAGTGTGTGCAATACTATCACAACAAATTGGATAGACTGCACTATTTTCTGGCCAGCACATTACACATGCTGCAGATCTGTATTGTAAATGGACACTTATCACAACTGTTATTGTCAGTAATTACCGATATTATCACCACTGCATGATTTTCTAATATACAGCCCTAAAGTCAATCCATAGTTGCAATATTAAAATCCTTATTTATTTACAATATTAATTTTGTAAAAATTACTTTTTAGCTTCATCAGTCTCCATTTAAAATATCCATAAACTAACCAACCTTCCTAGTTGTCAAAAATAGTTCAGAATTACAGTTTCAGTAAAGTTTATCTTGCACCTTTCCAGACAGTCTTAAACTGCTCTAAGAAGAAATATGAGATTTCTGAATTCTTAGAAGAAGAACTTCAAATGAAACTGAAGGTTTCACATCAAAACTGATGGAAAACTGGACCTTTCCATAACTTCATCCATTCTCAGGACTTTTCCGTAGTTTAAGTTTCAGTTCTTAACATGTTCTGTAAAATAATCCATTTGGTTTTCCACCACGTCAAACGCCTCATCACATCTCCTCCTGATTTATTCTGTGTTTTTGTGACTGATCACAGCGAATTGGGACAATTTAACCACACAAATATAGTTTTTGTGCCACTATTCCTGCCAACAGACACCCTAATACCCCCACAATACTACAACAAAGCCTCTTTAAACAACATGCAGTGAACACATCACAATCCTGATCTGCTTATCTTTCATCCAAACCGGCAGCTGGAAAATGGGAGGTAAACTCAAGAGTTCCAGAATGTGACCAGTTTGGACGCAAATGCAATTGGACTTTTCAGTACTAAAAAAAAACGTACAAAGTAGCACTAGTGTAAACAGTCATATTAAAAGAAAAAAAATGTCTCAGACATAAGACGTCTACTTGTGATCAAAAATCAGAAATGTTCAGGGGTGGGGCATTAACAGCCTGAGTCCAAAATAACTTATGAATTCAGGGGAAAATAATCAGCTGTGAGCAGCACATTGACCTACTTTAAATCTGTCATGGGTGATTTCAAAATAAACTGCAGGAATATGGGAGTCAGTCAATGTTACTCCTATGCTTGTTCGTCGTTTCACTATTTTTCGAACGCTGGTTTCAAAATAAGTCATTTCCTCTGCAAACTAGTGCAGAGTTAGAACTGTTTTTTCAGGCCTGGACTTTGTGATGCAGCGGCCACAGAAAAAGGTATCCACCAGGCCAGCACCAGTTAAGCACTGGAACTGGTTTGGTGGAGAAGGAGCCTTTGAAAGCAACCACAGATCTATTTGAAAAAAATGTGACCCCAGAACAACACACAATGCTTCAGTGTGTTGTTCTTGTCATATACTGGAGTCTTTAAATGTGACAAAGATTTTAACCACTCTGGATATATAAATATATTTTTTTTATCAAAACAATAACTTTGTTTTTGTTTTGTAATTAAGTGGAATAATAACAGAAGATATTTGTTATGGTGTCATTTTCTTCACACTCAATGGATGGAGGTTTTTAGTTATTATGAATTAGTTAAATATACATTTACAAAAGTAGCAAAAGTTAGAGGTAATGAGGTCTGAATATATACAAGTACAGCTACAAAATTAGAATATTACATACAAGTGGAATATTTCTTGGCAGAAAGTGAAACAATCCTTTTATTGAGATTCATTACATGGATTAAAATATTTCAAGCTTTTACGTTTCTGCAGTTTTAATGATTATGGCTTAATGATAAAGAAGTTCTTGCACTCAATAATTGGTCGGGTCTCCTCTTGCATGAATTGCTGCATCAATGGCAGAGAGGCGATCAGCCTGTGGCTCTGCTGAGGTGTACGGGAAGCCCAGAGTGCTTCTGCCTTTGGATCGTCTGCCTTGTTGGATCAGGTGTCTTTCATGTACCTCTTGAAAAGAAGTCCACAGATTGTCTATGGGGTTAAAGGTCAGGGGAGCTTGCTGGCCAATCAAGAACAGGAACACTTTTGGTACCTTTGGCAGTGCAGGCAGCTCCAAGTGGTACTGAAAAATAAAATCGGCATCTCCATACAGTTTGTCAGCAGAAGGAATCATGAAATGCTGTAGAATTTCTTGGCGGCAATGACTGCAGACTTCAGGAAACACAGTGGGCCAACATTAGCATGATATGGCACTAAACCATCTCTGTGGAAATTTCACACTGGACTAAGGATTTTGTGTATCTCCACTTTTCCTATAGACCCTAGAATGTTAATTTACAAATGAAATGGAGAATTCACTTAATCTGAAAACACTTAATCTGAAAACAGAACTCTGGACCGCTGCGCAACAGTCCAGTTCCTTTTCTCCTTAGCACAGGCAAGATGCGTCTGACGTTGTCTCTGGCTCAGAACAGGGTTGAAATGGGAAAAGTGACATTTCTATTATTCGTCTTTATGTGTGTTGGCACTTGTGTAATGAATTTCATTTGACAGTCCTTTTAGTTGCACATTTGTTGCACACTTCATCCTTCCACTTCATTTTCTGATAATGTGCTCGAATACAGAACTTTTAAACAACCAGCTTCTTCAGCAATGACCCAACCCTCCTTGTGAAGGATGCCAGTGACCGTCTCCTGGACATCTGTCGAGACAGCACTCTGATTGTGTAGCTACTGACCCAGACTGAGAGCCCGTTTAATGACTCAGGAAACATTTGAAGGTGCTTTAAGTTGATTATCTGATTAGGGTGTGGCACCATGAGTTTCAATTAATGATCTTTTTCAAGGTACTCTCGTTTTCTGAGACCCTGAAGTTTGGATGTTCATTATCTGCAAGCCAAAATCATCAGAATTAATAGAAACCGAGCCTTGGAATATATCGCTGTGTGTGATGATTCTATATAATATAGGACTTTCACTTTCTCTGATAACTGGTAAATATTTCACTTGTAAGCAATATTATTTTTTGAATTAGTATTCTGGTAGAACTGTGTTAATTATTTCAAATTACCCTGAAAACCAGCAGTGGAGCGTTTACCTTCAGATTATATCGCCTATCTCTTTATTCTGTGCAAAGCTGCACTCGGACCACAAATTGGTATTGGTTAAATCTGCAATAATCTTTTTTTTTCCTGTTTGTGCACATGGCAAACAAAATAAAGACAAACCTACGAGAAGTAGGAAAGTAAACATTGCCACGCTGGTCAACTGCATGCATAAAGACAGAAAGTCGTGTTAAAAGCTGCTGGTCTGCAATGTGGGACCCTGGCTTGATTTTGCAATGAAAAATAACGTTAGCAGAGATTGGAGTCTGCACGGGGGGCAGGAGGCGATAGTTTACCTCAGGTTAGCCCCAGGCTAAAGCTAACTCTAACGTACATCAACATTGTTGGCATACCACTTTTATCATTTTCCTCCCGGGTCTGGCTTTTCGCCCACTCCTCGTCGTCTTCAGGCTCTGACCAGTCGAAAGCCTGCTGCTGGCTGTCGAGGGCCTCGGCCATTTTTTCGGTCGCTGCACGGTCCTCCGGCGAGACGCACGTCGTTTTGTCTGCTGCTTCAGCAGCGGACTCGACACCAGCCTCCCCAGAATGGCTGGCAGCAGAGCCGCCGCCGTCGCTGCCAACATCCTCGGCTCCTCGCTCGCCGTTGGGGCAGACCCCGCTTCCGTCGCCCGCCGCCTCATCCGTCTGGTCCGGGCTGCATCCCGACTTCGCCGCCGCGGCCTGTTCCCCAGACGTGTCCACCTCCTCTGCGGGGGTTTTCTGTCGACTCTGAGACTTCGGGTCTGCGGCGGCCATGTTTCACCCATGCACCCCCTTGTCCGAAGCGCACAAGGATCGTGAAGCCAGGATTACGTTTCCGGTCGGCACCTTCAAAATAAAAGCCCCGTTACCGACAAACAGACGCGCTTCATTATCTTAAGAAAACACGTTTGAAGCTTTAAATGATACATTTCCAGTTTACTGCTGTTGTGACTTTGTTGTTGCACACACTACACGTAAAACTTTATTGTGATTCACCAGAACTTCTCAACTCGACATGGGGCCAAGCAGCAACACAACTTATATGTGCTTCTGATGATTGCCAGGTTTGTGTTAATTAGTTTTAAATTAAATTATGCAATCAGTTCAGATTTTGACCCTTTTTCTACAATTTGCTCAATAACAATTCAAGGACTCAGATTTATTACATTTTCATCATTTCAATCTGTTAATGACCACAAAATTTAAGTTTCAGTAAAATAAAATGCATACCTCAGCAATATTGATGACTTATACGCTGTAACAAATCCACACGTGAACAACGCCTTGTTTTTCTGCAGCTCATAGTTTGTATTTTATTAAGTTTAGTTACATTTCATCTGACGGCATCTATCTACAAAATATAACTTGTGCAAAACTACATAGATGATGGCCATTTAATGCTCCTCTGTAACTATTTACAACAACGTTCATGATACTGCATGCAAGATTATCAATAGCTGCAAGACATTAATGAATGCTTTCAAAGTTCATCTTAAACACGAGCTGAAGTCTGACTCATACTGTGATGCTTACCTGTTTTTTTAATCTATATAGCTATATATATCTATATATATTCAAAAAGGCTTTAAAATATAACAATTTTGTCTCAAAATGCACCTTCAGAACATAGCTTAATGTTGTCCAGACAAAACCTGGAAAAGTATCATGAAAACTATTGAAACAGAACAAGCATGTGGTGACTAGGCATGGGCCAGTTAGTATCATCAAAAACCCACAACATACCAGAGAAAGTATTACATTTAAGTTTTTTCCCAGCTGTAATGGCAGGTCGGCCCTTCTTTAACTTCTTGTTGCACACTGCCTATCTGCTGATCTCTATGCTTTTTTTTTTTTGACACAAGAAAAAAAACAATGTACCTTTCAAGAAATATGACCAGCTTTCCTGTGGAAGCAATAGCATCACAAAAATTTTGCAAACTTTTGTAAAAAAAAAAGAAAAGAAAAAAAATGTTTTAAGACAAATACTGATATGAACAATCATTATAAATAAATTATAGTTTGCCTAGAGGCCCTGATTCTGCTGCCAAGTGAACCGGGCTTTTGAAAGGTTAGTTTGAAAACTCTTTTACACACAGTCCCAGAAAAAAGTACTGATTGGAGGCAAAAGGAAGCTTCCCCTCCTCTACCTATTGCTGTAAGCTTAAAAAAAGACAACACTGGCTCAGGGTCCCTCAGTCGTCGAGTCCTTCCGCAAGACATTTTACCTGGCATGGCTGCTGATGGTGGTGCCATCATTGTGTGAAAAACGAATTCTAGTCTAAAGCGCTTTGGAGCCCTCAGACTTTATAAAGTGCGATACAAACATAGGCCTAAAGAAACGTCTTTAACATTTTCCTTGTTTATAACAAAGAAACTTGCCTGTTGGAAACTATTTTGGTTACAAAAAACATGGGATTGTCATGGAGTGGAAACTAAAAAAAAAGTGCTATTTTTTGTTCTTCTGAAGGTAAAGCTTCAGCTGACAGCTTGTTTAACTAAAAGCAATTGAACTAGGTTTCATGAGGTTTCACTAGGTTAGATTTTCATGTTAATACTGTGAAACTTGATATTTTCACTGAAGCTTATCATAAAACGAGTGTCTCATTCCAGCCCATGCCTAGTGGCGACCGACTGCCCTGAATAGAAGTGCCATCACTCTGGTTCAATGTGATTTTCTTGTTTCCCCTAATTTTGTTTCCTTTCAGTGAGGGAGCAGAAAAATCCCAAAAAGCACAAGCATACATTAGAAGGTACTTACAACAGCTGCAAATCTACAATTTATGGAAACTGGTGCAGATCACAAGTACTTTATGATGATGGTGTAGTTAGTCGGGAAAACCGAGTCAGGATTGAATCTGTAAGAGCATCATTGAACTTTGCAGCGAAACATGCGAACTGAGCATCAAAGACTACATAGTAAGCCTGTTTTTTTTTCTCTTGGAAAAGTTTGTAAAGTGAATCCGTCACTTTGTTGTTTCAATATTTTCTTACCACAGATTTATGCACACATTTAAGTGGTACCGAGGGTAATGTAAAGGCCACCCTATTAACTTGAGTCTACTTCAACAAACTGCTTCAGTCCTTTCTGTAAAACAGACCTAAGTACACAATGGCTTACGGATATGGAGTGAGATGAGAAACAGGATATATAACTAATTTTTTTACAGAAATACTGCAAGTAAAAAGAGCATCACATTTTCAAACATCGACAGTCTTTTAAAAAAAAAAAAAAATACATTCTCAGCGCCGTCTCCTGCGCCTGTGGTCGAGAGCTCTCCCTCGTCGCGGCCGGTGCAGATTTCCGCTCATGTCTGCGGCAGGGTCAGGGGGAAAAGTGCCGTGTATTTCTGGGGATGATGGTGCTGAAGCTACCGCTGGCTGATTATTAGAGTGCTGGGTTACCTGCGGCTGCTGCTGTAGGTGCATTTGATGCTGCTGCGTCTGCTGCAGATGCTGTTGCTCTATGTGCTGTAGCTGCTGTGGCTTTAAGTGCTGCTGCTGCTGAGGCGTTTGTGAGGGGTGCGCTTGTTGTCCTCGATGCTGCTGGGGCTGCGGTTGCTGCTGGGCTTCCAGCACTCCCAGAAGCCTTTGCAAGAGGACATTGTTTTGCTGCAGACTGACTGCTAGTGCCTCTTGTGAAGCGACGAGGGTTCTCATGTCCTGTCTGAAGCTTTCCCCGAACTCCCGCAGGCTCTTCTCCACCCGATTTCCCAGCTGAATCGCAGCCTCTCCTAAACCTCGGAGCTCATCTTCGAGCCACAAGCTGCGGGGCGGGGCTTCAAGAGGACCCTGCTGTGTCCCGAGTGACGGCTGGGGGCTGCTGGGCTGGGGGCTGCCGTTCAAGAAAGGAGCGCTGTAGAGAGGAGAAGGAGGCAGCCATCGTTCTGACGTAGGAGGGGGTCCGATTCCCAGTCCCAGACCCAATCCCAGTTTGTCATCTATGCTGTTTTCCACCGCCTCACACTCAGGCTCCCCCATGTCTCTCTCACGCTCAGAAATGTCCTCCTCTTTCTCCAAAGCATCCCTGTCTGATCCATCCACTCCTACACCTGTGTGGTGGGAACAGAAGTTACTGCAAATCCAGCTGCACAAATAAAATAAAAATAAAAAAAGGAAAAAGATCTGTTGTTACCTGGATCAGAGTCTGGGAAGCAGGGGAAAATAGGCTTTGGTCTGCTGCTTTGCTTCTGCCTCTGCTGCTGGAGCCTCGGACTTAGCTGAGACGAGCGCCCCAGCATAGATGCCCCCCTGCTGGACGGCAGGTAGCAGCTGCGGTGGCGGGCGTCGGCCAGCCTGCCTCCGTTGCGCCGCTTCAGGTCGTCCCAGCGCTTCTTGACTTCTCGAAGCGTGCGCGGCACTCGGGACACGGCGTTGACCCTCTCCAGGATCCCCGCCCATATGCGCTCTCTCTCTCTCCGCCGGAGTCTCCCGGCCGGACCAAAGAGTTCGCCTTCGCACCGGGTGACTTCTGACACCAGCACCTCCAGCTCCGCCCCGCTGAAACGACTCTTCCTTTTACCCGCTCCGCCAGCGGCCAACGCCGCCGACATGGCTCGGTCTGTGGAGAAAAGTCATATTTTTACTTACACTGAATTAAAAACTTTTTTTTTTTAATCATCACACATCAAATCAAAAAAACAAAAAATTTACTCTGATTTTTGTCAAAAACATGTTTAATTGGATTTTCATAATCATAGACAATAAGATGGCACATTTTATTTAAGTGCTCAAAGTGACATTCCTTCATATTTTTGATTTCAATTTATACCTCTGACCAACATAAACTATATGATTTTGAACATTGGTCCACTAGGAAAAATAATTTTTACTTTATTTAGCAGTGCTTAGGTTAAGTAGTTCATCTTTGTATGTTGCTTTCACTTAACTAGTCATTAACCAGTAAATTTTAATATGCATTTAATATGTCTTGTGATTCCTACAAAGTTTTGATTTGAATCGTCCACTACTCTGCAAGCTTTTTACTATGAATAAATATCATTCAGACAAAATGTACATTTTTAAAGAAATCTCAAAATGCTTTCACCTGTTTAAATAAACAGAATTCCTATTCATAAAAATGTTCAAGGTAAATATAGGAGACAGACTTTTGGCTGTTTTAAGTTAGTTAAGTTGGTGATTGCAGCAAGAACACAACAAGATCCTCTGGTTAAACTGCAAATCTACAAATCTCTAATTTTGTTCAACTTCATAAAAACACAACTCAACAGTGAACCATGATGGTGGCAGCATCATGCTGTGGGAAAAGCTTTTCTTCAGTAGGAACAGGGAAGCCGTTCAGAGTTGATAGCTGACTCACACAGAAACAAACAAACAGCCCTCACTTTCACAAACTTACTTTGTTCAATGGTCAAAAGGTCATCTGATGACATGCCGGGTGCCATAATGTTGGGATGCACCACCACCACATTGAAGGGGAGTCCTCCAGGTAAGGCGCTGGTCTGGTCACAGCTGTTCTCCGAGTCTTCATCCTCCCTGGGGAAGCCGTTCTCTGAGGCTGCCCCTCCAAAGGCTCCCTCCGGGGACTCCACTTTGATGTGCATGGGAGGTGATTGCTCGTACAGCAGCCCCCCCTCCTCGTAGTACTCAGTCATGGATCAGACCTGGTTTAGAGCAGAACTGACTGGCGGGCCAATTCTGGTACTGGCAGCCCCCTCCCCATTAACTGCAGCTCAAAGTGTCATTTAAACCTTGCATTTGAACATGGTTACAGTTGCACAGACACGCTGAAGTGATTTTAATTTTCCTTTTTGGAAATATAAAATGGAACTATTTCTAAATACTGTTTTAAACAGTATCTCTAAAAAAAGTCTAAGTCATATTTGAAGAATGGCAATTAAAACAATCATGTTCTCTGATTGTACATTTATAGACACTTTACTGTCTATTTGTGGCACCTTCGGTCCATTTCAGCCATTCTCAGCTGCACTGATGTGTTATTGCTCCCACATTGAGGATGAATGAGGTGCAGGTTGAGGGCTACATGAGCCCCTCCATCTGTCTGACACACAGCAGCATCCTCCAGGTGGAGACTCTCCTCTAGATCTGCAACACAAAACAAAACAGTGCTAACACTCGGGCTGCTCAGGCGCGATACCGCCGCTCGCCAATTCAAAACGCCGCTTCTCCTGCTCCGTGTCGCAGCGCTGCGCATTTTTGTCTGCACAACATCCGCAATGGTTGCGCATTCCGCATACATTAAGAGCTGGTGTTGAAAAGGGAGCTAGCTGTTAGCCCGAGCTGCGGGCCGAAGCAGCGGCTTCCTGTGAGCTGTCAGCGTCAAGCCGGGCTGAAGCGGTGAACGGGGAGATAATACGGCGAGTCCTACCTGCAGACGAGTCCACATGGGAGGAGAAACCACACAACAACAATGAAAAAGCTCCTGTTAGCAGCCGACACAGACCCGGAGACAGTCGCTTGATGTTGACGTCACTGGTGGGCGGCGTTCAGGAACAGTTTTTTTTTTTATAAGACTTGCCTAAGCTAGACTGACATTGTGCCTTTTCGGATCACGTGCAGAGCTTTGGGAGAAAATACCAACACCTCTTCTGCATCTTCACTTGCAATGTATTCTCTGTGCTTTTATTTGACGGACCATCACAAAACAGAGCATTTTAACTGGAGGAAATGTTTTTCCCCTATTTAAAAATCTGCAAGGTGCGGCATGCCTTTACTTTTATTTATGTAAATCCAGTTATCCTCAAAAGTCACAAAGTTAGATCTTCTTCGTATCATTTAAATACAATGAATATGGCTTTAATTTGACATCAATGAAGATGTCAAATTAAAGAACAATGGTTTTTATGGGACAAAGGGATTGAATACAAAATCTCACCACACTTTTCAGATATGCAACACAAATATGCACCACTTTTGAGCACGGCTGACACAAACAATACAACTGAAATAGAGGTTTAAGACTGCAAAATGGGAAACAATTAAGAGATAATAAAGACTTAATATTATACATCATGCCATATTTTTTGTATAAATTTATATTTATACAAAATAATTCAGAATCAAAGACCAAAAGACCTCTTGGAGCAAGTAGTGCAGTCTGAAACCTAGAAATATTATGCTTAAACAGAAATAAATAATTAAGAGTTTTCCTTTGTTCTGCTCTCGACCAGCCTGAAAATGCAGATTTCCAATGTAAATAAAGATTTTGTGACTTTTCTATACTGCATCTGCATGTTAAAACCATTCACTTTAATTCATGTTACATGGTGAGCAGCCAATTAAAGTGCTTACAAATATGTCAGAATTCCCAAAATACCTATTCGTATTTGGATGAAGCAGCACAATTTTCACACGTCTCGTTAGCTGATTTCTTAGAAAAAAGAAAGTAAGTTCTTGTTCTGACCAGCTGTGTTAAACATACAGTGATAAGGAATTATCTCTCAAAGTACACAAGATTGTAGCTTTAAACACTTTGGGTTCTTATAAATTTTTCAAATGACCAACAAACACAAAAATGTTGTATTTAATAAACAAAACCAACCATTTTAAATTACTTAGAGAATAACACTAGATATTTCAACGTATTTGTGTATTTTGCGGCAAGAAGGACATAAGTTGTGAACTTATCAACTATATAGATTAAATAATATAAGAAATTACTCAGACGAGCTTGAACATCAGTTATTTAAGACTAAACAAATACTGTATATATTTTCTCCCTAATACTGGATCCTGAAATGCTCAAGTTACATTTTACAAAATAAAAAGTTAATAGATTTTGTTGTAAAAATAAAAGAAACAAGATGAGCAATTTCCAAACTTTAACTGTACTATGCAGCTTCAAAATTAAGAAAACTGTTGGAGGTGGGAACATATTAATTTAAAAAGTTGCAAGGGTGGGTTGACACTGAACTAATACTTTGTTGAAGCACATTTTAGATCAGTTTCAGTGTTATTGGAAGACACCTGCCACTAATTTATTTTAATTCATTTGACATCGGGTGAGTTACACTCTAACTAAAGATAGTTTTTGGAGAGCTTTCAAAGCCTCAACATGATTTAATTTTACGGCTGTATCAGATGGAAACATAATAAGTGTTAAACTGGACGAAATCATAAACATTTCCAAACAGTAGTTAGTTTGGACTCAAAACACTTACTGTCAACTAGAAACCAAGTATCAGAAGGGATTTTACTGTCCACATGTAAAGTAACAAAATAATTGCTTTCACTTAGAAAAGCTGAAAGGTTTCGGAATGGCATAAGGAGAATTCATATGTAAATTTGGCAGAATTTTTTTTTTTGGGCAGGGAGGGCGGGTCAGATAAAGAGGAGATGTGATAACAAACTGATAGATTAGGAAAAAAATTACACAAACCAGAAAGGTGGAAACGTTGCCAAATAAATACGTGGCATTTCATGGTGGCAGTCAAAGAAGACTGAAAGCTGAAATAGAATCAAAAAGTACTTCAATAAACATTTTTGAAGGCTATACATGTTTATTAAAAAAAGCAAGTTGTTGCAGATTTATTTATTTATAATTTTCTTTAGTAGCCTTGTTTGATTTTTCATTTGAGTGGTGCAGTAAAAACGTTTTGAAGTGATTAATCATGGACTCATTTTCTACGTTATAAAATCTGGAAATTATGATATATACACATCGAGGAGCCAGCGTAAGTCTTAACATATTTGATTTTAAGTGCACAGACATATTAGCCAAGTCAGCTTAAAAACAGGTGATATGTGGGATTCTATGTTTGTTTTTTTTTTAATCTTTGACCAGGAGGCTTTTTCCCAGGTGAGACAATATTTAATCACTGAGCAAGTCAGATGGAAAAACCTTGAGAGCAGGGACTGATAAGTTAGAGATTTCCCCTCTATATAAACCCACTGCATCTGCTCCAGAGCTGTGTGGATTCATTAGGTGCAACCATGAAGTACTTCATTCTCTTGGCTCTTGTTGCCGCAGCTTGTGAGTTTCTCCCAAGGATTCATTTATTCTTGTATTATATTAAGCAAGGTTTTAAAAGTCTTACTCTCTGGTTTACAGATGCTGCTCCCCTTGAGGACGACAAGATCGTTGGCGGCTACGAGTGCAGGAAGAACTCTGTGCCCTACATCGTATCTCTGAACTCTGGCTACCACTTCTGTGGAGGCTCCCTGATCTCCAGCTCCTGGGTGGTGTCTGCCGCTCACTGCTACAAGTCGTAAGTCAATCATCTGTGGATTTGGTTTAAAAGACACTCTTACAACAGTTCACAAAGTTTCAGGAGGCGTGTGCAACCTTCCTTCTCTCTGCAGTCGCGTCAATGTGCGTCTTGGTGAGCACAACATCGCTGTCAGCGAGGGAACAGAGCAGTTCATCGACTCCTCAAAGGTCATCCGTCACCCCAGCTACAACAGCTACACCCTGGACAATGACATCATGCTGATCAAGCTGAACACCCCTGCTTCCCTGAACAGCTACGTGAGCTCCGTGTCCCTGCCCTCCAGCTGCGCTAGCGCCGGCACCAGCTGTCTGATCTCTGGATGGGGAAACACCCTCAGCTCTGGAAGTCAGTGCCTCACCATTTATATACAATGCATCATAGTTTCATATGGATATTCATATTTACTTATGATGCTTCAGCCAACTACCCTGATACTCTGAGGTGCCTGGATGCCCCCATCCTGAGCGACACCAGCTGCAGGAACTCCTACCCTGGAGAGATCACCACCAACATGTTCTGCGCTGGATTCCTGGCTGGTGGCAAGGACTCCTGCCAGGTAGAACATGAACAGAAAACAGCATTTGGTAAAACTGGTACATCTTCAGACGACGTTAACTCATACCTTCTCTGTGTTTCAGGGTGACTCTGGTGGCCCCGTGGTGTGCAATGGTCAGCTTCAGGGCATTGTGTCCTGGGGTTATGGCTGCGCCCAGAAGGACAGGCCTGGCGTCTACACCAAGGTCTGCAACTACAACACCTGGATCCGCAACACCATGTCCTCCAACTAGATAGAAAATAAAATCAGTGACATATGTCCTGAAGATGAAGAATCTGACATTATGACAAATAAATGGTGAAAATAATGTTTTTGCTTGTTTCATTTCCCTGGATAAACAATTTCAGCACAAAAAAAAATAGAAAGCTATGACGAACAAAAACAGATTGCACACTCATGCCAACATTACCATCACATCTGGCCAAGGATTTTAAAAAAATGCGCTCTTCGCTTTAAATTGAATCTGAGTAACATACTACTACTCCAACATAATTTGGGCCAAATTCCTAGAGGGAGGTAAGGACCCCTACCTCATCTTCTCTCCTCTGTGTATCGTTGCCTCCGGTGGCCCGAGGGCACACAAGCTACACGGCAGAGCGACCTGCTGTCACAGCTGTGCCATGAGAAAAAGGCCCGATGTTCATGGCAAAGTGTGCAACTACATCATCTGGACTTGCAACAAAAAGTTCTCAAACTGAGTTAAAAAAAATAGTCTGTGATGGATCTGAAGATATGAATTAAATGGCTTCAATTCATATCTCTACCTTTGCTTGCTTCACAACACCCACTGTTGAGGAAGCTTACCAGTGATAAGAACTTCTCTAAATTAGTAAATAAATATACTTTCTAAAAACACAAAATATTCATCTATAACTGATGAAAACTGACTATGGATTCTTTCCATTGGTAGATGATAAAGATCATTATGTCATTTATTAGCCGTCAGTGACTGGTGTGAATTTATGTCAACGCCTCAATGCATCTAATACTTATTTTACCAGCTGTATGTAAGTTATAATAAAAGCAAACTCACTCAGTAATTTGTGTTGAATAAACGAGATTTGCACACTGCAGGACTTATGATTTGTATCAGTTTGTCTGATGACGAGCCAAATATTAAATCCAGCAATGTTCAAACATCTTTGTTTTTTCAAACGTTTTACACATCTGTTACAAAGGTTCCAATAACTGTATTAGTGTTGGGAGTCAAGGCTCTTCTCATCGTCAAGAAAATAAAAGGATTAATCAGCCACATCGTTTTTATGTGGAAAAAGAAACTTTATTTTTGAGACAAACTATAGCAAAAATTTATGTACAACAAAACAAGACGGTTTCTTAAAAAAAAAAAAAAAAAAAAAAAACTATTTCATGGTTGCAAAATACTCAAGGCAACAAGACAAGGAGCAAAACATTAATGTTCTGCGAGAGTTCAGATATAACAGGAGGAGCATGTTTGTCGACCAGTGTACTGATCAGGATGTTATCAAATTGAAATCCATCATAATGAACATGAATAAAGCCGGTGATCAGTCTTAAAATCTTAGAAAATACTGATGGGTGTCTGCGACCAAATCACTTTTTATTTCTGATTATTCCCATAGAAATAAACCAAGTTCAGAAAACACCAGGCGGATGTTCAGTTCACAGTGACGTTTCACAATCAATTGCATCCTCTGCAATTCAGCCATCAATTCAAAGTAGTCTGCTTACAGCTCATGTTATTTTAGAACAGGCACATGTAACAAAACTTTCTCAAGTCATTATTAAATTCCTGATGATCAAGAGGAAGATTCTTGGGGGATTTGAGCAATTTAAAAGTTGTATATAGCTCCACATCTAAAGGTTTTCAGGTAGTTCAAACTGACAGAAACTACGTTGACAAACTAGGGTAATGTGCAGATACAGAATAAACTTTACCAATTAGGCATGGGCTTGTCTCCATGAATACAAGAATCTATGACAACCTTGTGTAAAAATATGTATTAAGAAAACAAACGGAAATGGTGTAAGAGAATATTCTCAAACAACCAAATAGGTACTTATCCGTATGAGAAAAAAAAGAGACAATTTTTAATAGCTAATAAGCCATTCAAGAGCAACATTGTGCCCTATTTCTGTTTTGTATTATAAAATTTTATACCTAATGAAGATGTTGCTTTTTTTAAACCTTAGTATACCTTGATGGCATTCACCGGCCCATGGCTGATAGCACAAGCAACTTCATATCGTTTTTATCTTTTACCCAGATCTCATGTTAAAGGGGAAGAATCATACATAGTCATCTTTCTAAATTTAAGCTGGTGTCTTTAGATTATCCTATAATTCTTTCAATGTAAACTCTTAACCCCAACCTCCCAGTGGCACTGGTCTAACCTCACTCTACAGTGATGTGTAGGACTCTGACACAAGTCTAAAATTTGTTATTTTAAGCCAGGCCTCTTGCATGGTCCATGTAATGGTGAAAAAGGTCTGAGACTGTAGGAAATACAACTCCACACACAGCACACTCTAAACTGTCTGAGGAGTCTTTGTTTGATTTGCTGGTATTTTGAGTCCAGGTTGAGTTCACATGTTTTAGGATTGTAGAAGGTTTTCCAGGGCCATTTTCTTTAACTTTGTTGGTGCCGATTAAATGTGTCCTGTTGGGAGAATGAGTAGAGTAATCTACATCTAAAGGTTGCATTTGAGGATTTAGATCTGGTTGTTTTTGTGATGAGTATAAAACAGAGCTAGTTCGGCCAGCTGATGGTGCAAATTTGCTAGGTGGGCCAATTTTGGTTCTCGACTGAGAACTGTGAGCATCAGTGAGCAACACTAAATTGGGCTCCTTGCGTAGGTCTAGCACTGACGAATGGCAGAGTTGATGGGTGAACAGCAGATCAAGAGTCCCAAAGCTACATGTGCACTGCTCACACTGATAAGGCAGTGAAACTTTCTTTGGCCTCTCTTTGATCCAGTGGTAGTCAGGGTGCTGATTCATGTGCTCTCTGTAAGAACTGGCGAATCGGAAACCCTGCCCGCACCGGGGACACGTGAAACGGCCGCTTGGCTGCCGATGGACCCTCTGGTGAATCCATAGTTTCTTCCAGCTTCCCAGCGTCTTTCCGCACTGGGTACAGGGGAATGTCTGGTTGGGAGAATGGGTGAGCATGTGGGCCCTCAGCCTGCCCATGTGCCGGAACTGACGCCCACAGCTTGGACACAAGTATTTCCTGGGATCGGATCTGTTATCCAACTTGTTTAGCTTTGAGACTATATAAGAGACAGGAAGAGGGGGGCTAACTGGGATCTGAAGGGGCTTGCTTAGGTGAGCGGGGCGTCTTTTGCGAACAATGCTTTGCTGTTTTTTCTGGGCTTTAAAATCCGAAGGCGCGACACGAGGTGGACTGTTGCATTTTGAAGTGCTATGTGAAGGCACTCTGTAACGAATCATTGACATCATCTCCTCCTTTTTTATTGAGCTGAACATGTTCCTTTCCGCTGCGCACCGAGTCCGGTGGGCTTCGAAATCAGACATCACGCTGAACAGCTTGTCGCAATACAAACAGCGAAACAGCTTGGTGCCCGTGTGCTCCTTCATGTGATTGTTGAAGTTCTGCAGGTGTTCGAAAACGTTCTTGCAGATGTAGCACGTGTACGTCAGCAGCGGCTTTATGCGTCTGTTGCTTTGGGAGTCGTTGCTGCCACTTATTGGTTTGCACGGATGGTTTTTGGCATTGCTGTAGTGGGAGAAGGACTTCTCGCAGCGGGTGCAGTTGTAGCGCTTCACAGTCCAGTGCGTCAGCTCATGCACACGGAGGAAATAAGACTGCCCGAAAGCTCTGCCACATATGTCACACTTATAGGGCTTCTCTCCCGTGTGGATGCGGACGTGTCTCTTAAGGGCGGACTGGAATGGGAACGTCTTGCCGCAGTACTGACATGTTTTGCTGCTTTTTTTCTCAGCAGATTCCTTCTGAATTTCCTGGGCATTCCTGTTTCTTATCGGTTGTCTTAGATTTTCTATTCTCCTGTTGGGATACATAAGGGCCGGCTCGTTCACCCCCTGAGTATGTGTCTCCATATGAATGGCGAACTGCGAGATGGAGACTCTGATTTTGCACAGCTGGCATTTTTGATACATGTTGTTCTTTAGGTGCATCTTGAGGTGGAGATTCAAGTTGGAGTTTTTGGTAAAACCTTTCCCACATTCTGCGCATTTGAAGGGCCTCTCTCCTGTATGAATGCGCTGATGGACGATCAACTGAGACAGAAATTTAAATAGACGGCCACAGTAGCCGCATTTTAGCATGTTTTTACCCCCTTTTTTGACATAAATGATATTATCGTTGACATCTGAGTTGGCTTCTGTCTTCACATTGCCACAGTCAGGTTTCTGTTCAACTTCAGGAGTAGCCTCCTGTTTTTCTACATGGTTGTTGCTCGTGGAAACTTTAAAAACTCTTCTTTTTCTTTTGCCACCTTTCTTACACCTATAGACTGTATGAGCCCTGTTTGGTAATGTAACTGAGGTGTCTGCACTGTTTTGAGAGGCATTATTATCTGACGAAGGAGGCAAAGGATTGACCTCCACCTCAATATCCTCAGATTTCACAGTTATAGGTTGTAGCGTTTTTTCAGAAGATGATTCTAAAGCATTGCTAGCCGTTTCTGCCCTCTGCACATCTGCATCAACTGGATGATCAGATGAATTAGGAATTTGTAACGGAGACTCCTCTCTGCCATGTGTCATCAAGGACTTCTTTATATCAGAGCTTTCCGTTTGAGAGGGCTCTACTAAATTTAATCTGTTCACATCCTCTCCAGGACTCTTTTCGGGCTCTGGAAAGGATTGCAACTCTTCTATCAAAGGCTCATCAGCATTATTGTTCCTATCAGTCTCCTGTTTATCAGCACTGCTTTCCACCTGTTTATCAGTCTCTGCTTCCACTGCCTCATTGCTCAACTCTGGTGAACCCTCTGTGGAATCATCCAACTTTGCCACTTTGGCGGGAACGTTCTCATTAACCAGAGGCTTAGTCCTTCTTCTCCTCCTAATGCCATGATTGTATATCGGGTTACTGTCGTCTGTCGAATTCCCCTCTGTTATCCGTATGTCAGTATTGCTATCAAAGTTTCCGTTCTCCATTGAAGGGTGTTGCTCTCCTCTACTCCTCAGGGTCCAGCCGAGGTTATTAGATTGACGGGGTGTGGGTGTCTTTGGAGCAGTTTGCTGTGAAGTTGTAGATTCTGATTTTTTTGGCCGTCCTCTTCTTCGTCTTACCTGCAATGTGACCTCACCATCTACTTTGTCACTCGGGACAGCGTCAGAACCTGATTTCTCATCTTGAGATGATCCACTGATTATATGATGATCTGAATCACCTGTGATGTGGTTGACGGAAGATGCTGACAAAGCTATTGTGGTGCTGACATCCTTATGCTGATTTGAATCACAACTAGCAGCCTCTGAATTCTTTTTCTCTTCAGTCAAAGTCTGTTTGCCTTTAACATGCCTACCACGTCTTCGTTTGGCCCTTTTCTTATATGTTGGAGAGTTCACAGAGGTCAGCTGAGGTCCACTGTCCATCCCCATTTGTGACAACACGTCCTCACTTGGCTGACATTTTAGATCTGCAGCTGTAGACCTCATATGGACATCAGACTCCATGTGTTCTGACGCTCTTGGAGCAGAACGATTCAGATCTGTTGCACTCATGTCCTCTCCGGACCTCTCACCCCCAGGTGTCTGTTGAATAATGAGGTAAAAGAGGCTTTAATGTACAAGTGGTTGGTTGGAAAACTCTCCAAAAATTTATACAAATTTATGATGCACTTTAATCTTTCTCATGCAGATAAACTAATAATGCAAAGGCATGCAAAAGATTTGATCGCACCGAACATTTTCACAATCTGCCACACATTACAACCAGAAACTACAATGAACACTTTTTTTCCTAAAATGAGAATATTTTTTTAGCATTCGTGCTCCATATCTAAAGGGAAACTGCTGCAGAATCTCAGTGAAGGTTTTACAAAAAACTCCATGAATACTTAATTGTTCCCTGTTCTTATTTATTCATTTCTTCCACTGTGTTTACAGCCAACCTCGTGTGACGGCTTTATGCAAACGCTCCATACTCCACTTACAAGTCTGTGGAATAAAAACAGGCTTTTTGAATTCAATCATTTCTGTAAATGGCACAATGAGTACGAGGTTGTTTTTTGAAAAGGACAAAAACATTCCCGAATGGATGGGGCCTTAATATAATAAGCAACACTACGTGGTGGCAGCATCATGCTGTGGGGGTCCTTTTTTCCCCCAGCAGAGGCAGGTAAGTTTTTTAAAGCTGACAGAAGTATGGAAAGGGCGACTAAGAAAGTAAACTTGTTAGAAGCAACAAAACGGTTGAGACTGGAGCAGATATTCACATTCCAGCACTGCATTGACTTTAATATCAAGTCAGAGCTACGACTGAATGCTTTACATAAAAGCATATGACGGGTGAATATGAATGCCATGGATGCCACACCTTTTGGGTTTCTATTTCTAAAAAAAATGAAAACCAGGCATCCATTTGCTTCAATTTCACAATTACACACTGCTGTTAGCTGGTATTACACATAAAATCTTCATAAAATGTTAGTGTTTGAGGATAAAATATTTAAATGTTCAAAGAGCATAAATTCTTTTGCAAGGTCTCATACTTGGGACTGTGAGATAATACTGTGTACTTTAAAATTAAAACTGTGTACATGCACTGCTAAAACTGGCGAGATTTCAACATCAGCACTTTCGTACAACTCTTGCTTTCCATGCACTTTTTTTTTTCTTCAGTGCCTACCTTTTTGCAGTCTGATGGAGCGTGAACAAAACTGCAAGGGGAGCTTGCAGAAGTTAAATCAGATTCTGTATTTTGATCACCGCTTCCTTTGCCGAATGACATTTTAGTCCCCATGGCAAAAATTCTGCAGGGAAGAAAATGACAAACAGTGATGTGAAATGCAAAAATAATACAATCATAATGTCTGACATGAATATGTAGCATTTACAGCAGAAAAGCATGGAAAACATGCCATAGTGGTGGTTTGTGTCAACAGCTTACAAGTAGTTGTTTGCATTGTGCTTGTATGAAGGTGACAAACAAGCATGGGCATCATCGTTAATGGTGGTGTAAATCTGAAGCAGACAAAAGAATCTTCATTGCATATCAGTGGGGGAAAATATAATATTCTATACATCAGGTTACAGTTTTTACTTAAAACTGAGCAGCATAACCATATTACGTTCAATGTAACTTGTCTGCTTTATGCAATATCCACTACCTGCAACTTTAAAAACACTGAAAGCGTCTAGTTCATGAAGCAAATGCATCAAACCAGTGTGCTGAAGCATGGTTTGGTTAGTGAATGCTGCTTTGGATCAGTCTTCTTTTCAGTCAATCGTGTGAAAAAACAAGTGTGGATTGTGTTCAGTTTTCCAAACACCTACAAACTTATCAGTCAATCTGTTTTGCCAGAATGCAAAAAGTGTCCATTTGGATTAGTTTGCACATTTTAAAATCTGTCATTTGACTTTATTAGTAGATTTTTAGTAATGCTTTGAGAGAGTGAATGTGGGTCATTTTACAGAAATTGTTTTGATTTTATTTTACTAAGAGCAAGTCAGTGTTACTCATAAAGCTAATTAAAACAACTATTTTTTGCTCTTTCTATAGAACTAGAATAAAATCGGTATTGGAAGATCAGTAATCATTTCTCACCAGTGCGCCTCTAAATGAAGCACGTAAAAAAGACGACTTTTACAGAATAACTCTATAGGTTAGTTGGAGATTATTGATAACGCATCCCTAAAAAGCTCACTTACACGTGGAGAGATGTGCTGTGACAAAAACACAGCAACGTGTTCAAAGCACTGCATATGACCAATAAATACAGAAACACAGAGGAAACTGCATGTCAGGGTGCAGAAGCTGCTAACATCAGCCCGCTCTCCTCCTCCATTGAACATCTGATGGAGACTTTCTGACTAACAATGACTTGTTGTGTCTGCGCCTCATATTTAACTCGCTCAGCCAAGATGGCACAGATTTGTTTCCCAAGCCTTTTAGTGATGTCTCACCCCTGCACCCGGATACTAGTTAACATTAGAAACTAATAGTAGCATGACCAACAGTGAATGTGAGGCATTTCTGGTTCTGTAGGCCAGTTAGCTAGCTCGGTTTTCTAAAACGTCGCAGGCCAACCCGTTAACCCCGGCGTCTAGTGGCAAAACTTTGTTTATAAGCAGTAAGGAGTGAGTGGAAAGTTTCACAGCTGCGGTTCGTGGAGCCTGGCGGCGGGTGGTAATAAACACAAAGTGCCTTACACTGCATTGCCTGCGTGGGGTAAAACCAAGTCGGATTGGTTTCTGCGTCGCGTGCACGAACCGTTGCTCCGCTAGCTACCACTAGCTAACTCAAACCTGGCTCTCCCTCTGAGGCTGTTTGGAAACTTTCTGCGGTGTAACAGTGACCCAGACACGGAGTTGCGTACGAGAACCAAGCTTTACCTTCTTTTCGGGCCAGTTTTCTGCTACACCGCAGTCGTTATCCATGCACAAAGCAGCCAGACTAATGATAATAGCGCTGTGGGGGTTAACAGCGCGTCTGCTTCCAGTTCCGTCGGAAATATGAATATTCTCCTAGAGCAAAGACTGCACCAAGTCCCAAGATGTTTCCACAGTGATGAGGAAAACTCCAGCGGCCTCTCGACAAAACAGAGCTATATTTAAAAAGACGCTGACCGGAATGTATGTTTTGGGAATAATAATAACAGCATACACGAACACGCTTTACTTTGAATATATTCCCTAACATTTTGGATACAAATTAAAATGTGTAGTGTGCAAAATGCCTTCAATGTAAATGTGGGCCTGAGTGAACGGAACGCCTGATGTAGTGTTTAGACTGAGATTTATGGTATTTAAAGTTCTGCTGTGACGTTAACCTGCGCTCATCGTTGAGTTTTGCCTTTCAGTTCCCCATTGGAAACATTCATTTCTTACAATGTGGAATAAAAACAACAAAGTAAAACAAGAGTTACGCACAAATGGTGTGAAAAAGTATTTTCCTTTCTCCAGTTTTTTCTGTTTTTGTTTTCGTCACATATGTCGTAAAATATAGTAGTATAACCATACAAAGACAACTAAAGTAGTGACAAAATAATGTTTTGTTATTTAAACATAAGACTTTTTTTTCTCCTGTTCACCAAATTTCCAAACAGCCCAACTTTTTACAATGTCATTATTGTATTACAATATTGAACAGAGGAAATTAAGTAATTCAAGCGCCAACTCTCCGAATGTCATTTGTTTGGTACTTACACTGGCGCTTGGTGTTATGATGCTTTCACGAGCAGTCTGTGAACGCCTCATGAACGCATTGATGACGCTCTTCTTTGCTAAATCACAATTGTTTTTTATGTTTTTTCATTTCAAGCTGCTCCCTCTACTGGAGATCTTGTGCAGTTGCAAATCTCACTTAAAAAAATTATCAAACATACAGTATTTTTAAAATGACCAGGTTAGATTTGTAGATATTTCTGAACATTTGATAACAAAACGTTATGCTATTTGCGTTTCATTACCTGTCCTCAAAGTATAAACACTGCTGCTGTTTACTTAAAAGTTTTGGAAAATATCCGTTTCACTATTCTTCTGGTATCTGGACAAATTTAGATTAACTGTGTACAAACAGTTAAGCCCAAAATCATTTGTCTTAATAATAGAATGATCATGTAATAGAGTATGTTTGTGACAGCAAATTAAACACTCAAAAGATAAAAACTGTTTAAAAAAAAAGTTTTTATTTAGTTTAATGATAAATGGTATGACAATGATTCTCTATGCCCTTTATAATAATCCATTCTTTGGCATTACAGCAATCAAATCCTTATAATTGATTGTTTTACATGTTCCCAAAGTTTTATCTTTGGTGATGAGCCTCAAGTCTTTTGGTTTGGAGGGCCTCCTGGCCATCACCTTAACCCAAAGTATTCCCCACAAATCATGCTCAAATTGGGCGATGGCTGGCCCACTCCAAACTGGTAATAGGACTTCATGTCAGAGGAAACAGGTTGGCAAAATTTTAATTCTTTGTGCTTAAATCAGCCAGCGACATGAATACTTTTGGGCTTGTCTGTATTATGTTTTAATTTGAAAGTTTTGCCAATACAATTGGCCTATTTCCAAGAAGTAAAAAAGGAAACAAGTTTGAAAATATACTTTATTACATCATATACTGAATTCATAAACTCCGACAAAGCTGGTAGGAACACACAAGGAGTAAGGGTTTCAGTCCCAAAGCTTCAATAGCAAACTTACCTGACTAAAAACCTGATTAAAAACAAAACTTATACACAGTACCTGGTTTCCCCATCTACAGTGGACGAACCATGCACATATATCATGAAGCTGAACTTAATTTACACAAATTCCCAGTTTGATGGGCAGCAACTTCAAACTCCTGAACTGAACTATCTACATAAACATTTATTTTATTAGAAAAAGGTAGCTGGCTTATGAAAGAAGCATTTGAACCACTATTCCCAACTCCTAAAGCAGGTTGAGGAAAGCTCAGAAGCATGGGAGTCCCTGTGTGATGAAATACATTGATTCTTGGTAGTCAATATAAAACAGTGACATGCAAACATAATGTGCTGCACTACACTACTAGTCAACTCTTTATGGGGACTGATGAGGTTACTTGATAAATCACCTCAGCGGGTTTTTCAGGTCCACTCTCAACAATGAAACAGTCATCATCAGACTCCCCTCCTGCGCCTCCGTTGACGGGGGTCGACACCTTCACCTTCTCCAGGCTGACCGGCGTGCGCATTGTGCTGACAGCAGGGGAAAATCCCAGCTTCCTCTCACCGTTCATTTGCGGGGCGCTTGGTGTTACCTTTACAATTTTGTAATCCCGTTTGCCACCAATCATGTGCTTTGCCATGAACTCCTGGGCCTTGACACACTTGTGCCTCTGGAGTCGCTGGGCGCTTTCAAACGGAAGATGACAGACCCGACAGGTGAAGTTGCTCTGCGACGAGGGGTCCTCAGATGTCTTCTGCGCCGCAGCAGCATTGACGCAATCCCTCTGAGTGCCTGGACTGAATGCGCCGGTGTTTGGAGTCTTTGCTGTGACGGAGAGACCAGAGTAAGGCTTGGACGCAGTGGCATTCTGACTCTTCAACTGCAAAGGAGCAGTGATGTTCGGTACTCGGTTGGTGTTATTGTTGTATGTTCTGATGTTCTTCTTTTCGACCGCGGCCAGAAGTGGCCGACTCCTCTTTCCAGCTACACTTGGATTTTGGTTTTCCAGCTGCTGAGCGAAAGCAACCTGAGGCGGACGGGAAAACGGATTCTTCTTAGGACCGGCTCCACTTCGGGGCTTGTAATTCAACGGTTTCGCGGTGATGAGTCGATACTTGCTCTGATAGTTGGAGTTGCAAATGTGAAATCGAGGCACTAGCTTTTTGCTCGACAGAAGCAACCCGCATCCTATACAGCCGGAGACTTTATCTGCCACATGCGAGCTGTGGTGGGAGATTAGGCCCACCTTTGACATGAACCCCTGCTCACATTTACCACAAGTGTATGTCTGTGTCTTTCTGAAATTTGTCATTGTTTGCAACAGTACAACAGGCTGATAAAGCGTCCACAGGTCCACGGTTGGTGCACCAACATCTGCGAAGATGTTCTGCACACCTGCAACTTGGGGGAGAGGGTTTGAAAGCAACTCAGGCACTTGTGGAATCTGCGCTGTTTGCGTAGGAACACAAGAAGCGAGACCTGAAGTATTGGGTACTTGCAGTTTGGAAACTGAGGGTACACTGCCCTCATTGGGTGCCTTCCAGACAACCTCACCATCTTGCAACCTTTTCAGCTTCTCCTCCTCTTCCCTGTACTTCTCGATCCTTCGCTTTCTGATGGTTTTATGATCGAGCACTTGATGCCCAGGTTCGTGTGTAGTGCTGTGCTCCAGCATGTCTTTGTACTCGGTAAACTCCGTTCCACAGGAGCAGATGAAACTCGCCAGGGGACACATGTGCTCCTCAAGGCATTTCTGATTGGCAAAGATCTGCTCGCAGCTGAAGCAGAAGTGGCCCGAGTTTGTCAGGTCTATGGTGTTGCCATCCTCTAGGATGCTCTGCAGAATTTTTCTCTTGTGCTCCATGATCAGGCTGGGCATATGTGTGCGATCACAGCTGATGTGGAGTATGCAAGAACACCTTTCCTGTAAAATCAAACAGACAATTAATCCACGTCAAAAATAACAAAACAGCTTTAGTCTGCATATTTTTCTTTTTAAGTTACACAACTATGAAAAAGTAACTCCCCTGTATAATTTTTTCTTTTACTTTTTTGCTCATTTGTTACACGTTGAACATAGTTTATTTATTTCACAATGCAAATTGAAGACTCATTTAGATAACTATTAGTTTTAAAATTAAGTAGACAAAAATATAAACGTATCTGATCCTGCCCTCTAACCTTTTAGCTTACTTTTTACACATTATTGTTTAGTTAATGGAATTGTTTTAAAATACAAAAAGTGTTTTATCCAGAGTTTAATCTGGACTTTAACGTCAAACCTTTATGTATTTTATATCACTCATAGTTAGCATGCTGGTTGTGTTTGCCAAATATAACCCCTCAAAATTTTTCATTACAAAAATAAATTCACAACAAAGTAACCAAGTCCAAACGCAGCAGATCAACCCCAGATCATGATGCTACCACCACCATATTGTGACAGTCAATGCGTTCTTTATGTGTAATCCTGGGGTAGGTTTAGGTCGACCGTAACAAGATGCACATCTCCTAAAAAAACACTTGTTTTTTCAATTCAGAATATTTCCACTTCAGTCTTAAAGATCAAGATGTTGTTTTTTTCCAATGCGAGACAGGCAGTCATTTTCTTCACGATTCACGAGTCAAATTTTGAAAAGCGCTAGACAAAAACAAATATAAGAGGTACCAACCACTATTTCTAAATTGGTTCCATTTGTGCCTACCTGGAACATTTCTTCAGGTTTAGTACAGAATAAAATGGCTAAGTTACTGTATCTTGGTATTGTAGAATTTTAAATAGTTTGTTTGAAAGCAGAAAAAAATTTAAATACTGCCTAAAGGAGGCAGCCACTCATATTTTCGACATTTTTGCTTAAATCCATGTATGAAAAGTAAAGCAATTGTTGCTTTTTTTTAAAATGAAATATGGCAATGTACATTTTTGTTTTAGATTTTGACCATGAAACTATGTTTTGTCTACAGTCAACTGGAGTTATCAAATGTTAGAAAGGAAGATCACCCCAAATTAGTCTTAAAACAGGCCTCTTGTCAAGGAAAATAAAAATTATGATTTCTTTTCTTCTTTTTTTTTGCTAAGTCTACAGCTCCTTTTCTTGAAATCTTTTGCATTTCTTTAAGCGCATGCCATAGCTCCTTTGTCCTTTATAACTAGCTTATTTACTACAACCTGTTGCGGTAACTCCATGCAGGTTGATTGTAGTCCATAAAAAAAATAAACATGTTTAGATCAATGGGTCTCCTGCTGGTGGTTCTGCTCAATAAGCCCCTGGTTTCAT